GGGGACAGCCATGGGGACAGGGCGGGTGGCACCCGTGGGGGGCAGGGGGGACACTGAGGGTGGCAGCGATGGCAGGGGGGTGACAGCGAGTGTGTGACAGGGAGTGTGACACAGGGAGGGTGGCAGTGAGTGCGACATGGGGAGTGTGACACTGAGTGTGACAGGGAGTGTGACACTGAGTGTGACACCAGGGACGTGGCAGCAATGGCACGGGGGTGACAGCGAGTGTGACAGGGAGGGTGGCACTGGGTGTGACAGTGAGTGTGTGACACTGAGTGTGACAGGGAGTGTGACACCAAGAGAGTGGCAGCGATGGCAGGGGGGTGACAGGGAGTGTGACATGGGGAGTGTGACACTGAGCGTGACAGGGAGTGTGACAATGAGGGTGACATCAGGAACGTGGCAGCAATGGCAGCGAGTGTGACACTGAGTGTGACAGGGAGTGTGACACCAGGAGTGTGATATGGGGAGTGTGACAATGAGGGTGACACCGAGAGCGTGACACCGAGTGTGACACCAGGAACATGGCAGCGATGGCATGGGGGTGACACTGGGTGTGACATGGGGAGTGTGACAGGGAGTGTGTGACAATGGGGGTGACACCGGGAGCGTGTCAGGGACATGGAGGGTGGCAGCGATGGCAGAGGGGTGACAATGAGTGTGACAGCGAGTGTGACACTGTGAGTGTGACAGCCATGGCAGGGGGTGACAGCGGCACCGGGAGCATGCGACAGTGAGTGTGACAGCAGGAGTGTGACAGCGCATGTGCCACTGTGACTGTGACACTGAGTGTGACACCGGGAGTGTGACAATGAGTGTGACACCGTGACTGTGACACCGAGTGTGACACTGAGTGTGTGACACCGAGTGTGACACCGGGAGAATGGCAGCGATGGCCGGGGGTGACAGCGAGTGTGACATGGGGAGTGTGACGCTGGGAGTGTGACACTGAGTGTGACACTGAGTGTGACACCGGGAGCGTGGCAGTGTGACACCGGGTGTGACACCGATGGCAGCGCGGTGACAGGGACAGGAAGGTGACAGGGACAGCGGGGGTGACACCGAAGGCCTGGTGGTGACACCGGGGGGGTGACAGTGACACCGAGCGTGTGACACTGACGGTGACACCAGGGGTGACACCAGTGGGATGACAGTGACACTGACGGTGACACCGGGGGTGCCGCCGGGATTTGGGGCTCCCGGCGCGCTCTGAGGCCGAGTCCCGGGGGTTTTGGGG